AAATAAAAAAAAAACAGTTTTTGTTTCGTCCTCCATTGTTCAATATACACTAAATTAGCAATAATTCACCGTCATTTGTGAGAGAATATTACTTTTTACACGATACTTTTGTAATACTCATCTACACAAATATTGAAGCACATAACAGATCTATAGGTAAACAGTATATCATTTACTATATAAGTTTCATTAACTAACTTGACTTGCTAAGAAAATGTACATCATGTTAAACAAGTTGAGACAATCAAAACATACAACTTTACGGAAATTTGAACAAGAAATTTTTTTTATAAAAAAAATATGCAGACTAGAAACATTTTCATATTACATATCACAAAACAATAAACACTAAACCAAACTACACCCGAACCGTAATAACCCAATGCATAATAAAGTCAATTTTCAGTTTGATACTATTTTTTTCTTAAATCAAAGAAAAACTGAATCAAACCAAAATTGAGAAACTCCCCAAGCTCAAACACTCCTAAAAATAACCTTAAAAAAAACAAGATCTAAATAAAACATCTACTAGAACTTTTTTTTTTTTTTCCTTTATTCACAGAAGCGAATCTAAAGCACAAACCCTAATCCTTAATCTTCTTTTTTTTAGACGACATGAAACGTCTGTACAAGCATATATATGTATATCAACACTGATATGTTGTGTAAATGCAAATTGTGAATCAAGAACGATACTATTAGTGTATTCTTACCATTTTTCTTATCTTTTAAAGTTTTTTTTCTCTTTTTCTCCATTTTCTTTGTTTGGATTCAGAGCAATTTAAGCTTTGTAAGCTGTGGTACTTGCAGGTTGCTAGTCGAGGGGAGAGTCGAATACCATTTCCTGTAAAACAAACGGATCCTCTCAGATACATCCCGGGAAGTAAAACGAATATGTTTGGTCCAAATACAAGCGGAATTGGACGGTTTATTCGAGATTTATACACCGAAGAGAGAGCCCAAAACAGACCTTGTTGCAGACGGGGCAGGTTTCACTTCTCTCCATCCATTCTAGAATGCATGCGAGGTGAAAATGGTGATCACATTTGGCTAGAAGTTTGGGGTTCTCGATATCATATTCTGAATCAAAAACAAGGCAGATACATAAACCATTTGCAGTCATGTAAGGTATGCTTGTGATTGTCTTTGAGATGTCGAAAAGACAAAAAAAACAATTACCTTCTAAACATATGGGACAATCCTCTTCTTCCTCTATTGGTACAAAGACATCTTTGTCTTTTGATGGCTTTGGGTCTATATCTTCTGTAGATTCAAGTTCAATCTCTGTTTGGATTTTGCAATCTGTTTCTTTATACGAGCATGTAGTTGGAACTCCGAGAGTGATACCGTCAACTGTTTCTTGAGTAGACTCGGTATTAGTGGTTTCTGCTGAAACTTCTCTTATATCAACACAAGTAGTCTCTTCTCGGTTCCCTGGTGTCTGAGGAAGCCCTATAGCAACATCGAAAGGAATAGGCAGTGGTGGTGGTATATAAGCATCAGGAGATGATGTCTCTAAGTTTGTGTCTACTACTACAACACCAGTGGAGATTGCAGAGGAAGTCCTGTTATGCGCGGAAGATAAAGGCACACGCTCTTCTGTTGCTCTCGGGTACTGCAAATTCAAGTCAACAAAAGGAGGATCAACAACGGAAAGAAAAATTGATCTTATAATGGAAAACTCATTCGCATATGAATCTCATTAAAGCCACCGCGGCAAGACTATCTTCGCAAGAACACACACAAAATAAAGTCGAGAAGGGTTAAAGACAGAATAGGGAAGTTGAAGAAGCACCACACTAACGTAATAGTACGGAGTTCCATTATCTACACCAGCTCTTCGTGAAGAACAACAACAGCAACCTCCCATTTCTTCTTCTTTTTTATCGTTTTTTTTAAATCACAATTCCAAAAACCGAAGACTCTTCATCTATGCTAACCTACAAGCAGTTTGAAGAAACAAATTATACATTTTCATGATTTCCATAAAAGTATAGATTGAACATGTATATTCATCATTTCTTATCTTCAATAAACTGAAACAAGCTTTATCGAACCACATCAATAGAGCAAAAACACCTAACATTTCAGCTAATAACTGTCCAAATTTACTCTCAATAATCAAATTACAAAAACAACAACATCAATTGAAACACCAATAAACCTCTTCTCAAACCGATAAAATTCGAGAAAACGGTGTTGAGATTAAGCCTAATTTGCAATCTCTTAAGCACAATCAACAGTGAAATCAAACAATTCTACACGAACTCACTCAAAACAGAAACATTAAAACACACAAAAGAGCGTCGTCGAGAGCTAGCAACTACGTTCACAATCCCCTAAGCTCCGTAAAACCTAAACCGAAACTTATCAATAAACATCAGAATTTTTCAGAATCTAGCATAACCATCAGATCTTAACAGTCAAAACCTTACAGAATTTCACAGAAAATCAGCTCTCATAAGACGAGATTAAAGCAAAGAGAAGGGGAAAAAAAAAAATCAAAAACGAAAAGAACCGATCACTAGCAAGATCAAAGACGAAACAATTACCGATCATCATCATCGTCTCGAGAGGAAAATCTGGAGAATCAAAGAGAAAATTTACCTTTCTCGGGAAAAAACAAACTTTCTCTCTGCTTATGCGCTTTTGTGTTGCTGTGTTGTGTTATCGTGCGCTCTATGAAAGGACTTTCCTAAGAAAATAGAAGACTCATCGCTGATTT